CCCCCCGCCGAAAAAAAGACACGCACAATTGGAATAACTCTAAAATAGTAGTACACCTTTATAAATCACACACAAAAGATATATCTAAATTTGGGATAGGGAATAAAAAAAGCCGTGGAGTTTGAATTGCGCTATCGGTGGGGCACGCGACATCTCAACGTCAAGAGATCCATAACGCTTCTCCATTAACCTGAGAACGAGCTCGTTTAACAACCCTTGCCTTTTAGCTGATTAACCGATGGATAAACATTTAAGATCAGTTTCCCGATATTCCGGAACTTCAGAGTGGGTCTTATTGAAGGAAATATCAAAAAATATTTACAATTATGTGAACGCGTGTTTAAAGCATCGAGAAGAGGACATTGAGATCAAGATGTCACTTCCTGTTATGTTCCAGACAGACAGAAGTGATCTACTCCAATCACGCAAAGCCGTGTATCGCACCGTGGATACCTTAGTGATTGAGAATAACCAGAGAAGAATTATCACGCTCTTGAAAATCTTTCATTGAGCGGCTCAAGCAGAGGTGTTATTAACATCGGCCCTTTTAATTGTGATGGGTGCCCTGGTCGAAAGAGCAGATCAGACAAACCAAAAAAATCGATCTCTAGTTTACCGATGGCAACATGTCATCTAGACGCACATAAACTCTCGTCAGTCAGATTCCACGTCTACCCCCTATCTCGCGTACAAAGTATTAAATAGCTTGTAAAGCCTAAAATCTACTCAAGCTAGACGCGTAGTTCTTCCAGCAGCGATAGGAGGTGACAACTGTGAAGGCGGTTTAAGAAAACGATGTGGTATCCAACTTTTGGTTCTTGGGGAGCTATGAATGGGACTTCAGTGGGTCTGCAGAACTACGATGATGATGAGGATTCCCACGTCAAAAGGCCCATGAATTCCTTCATGATTTGGGCCAAAGTCATGAGGCGTAAGTTTGCGGAGGAAAACCCTAAGCTACACAACGCTGAAATCTCGAAGCTCCTTGGTAAATCTTGGAACGAGCTGACTACTAAGGAGAAAAGACCCTTTGTCGAAAAAGCCGAACGCTTAAGGATTCGCCACATGAAAGAACATCCGAATTACAGGTACACTCCAAAGAGAAAGGGAAGACAAGAGAGACGAAATGGGCAAAGGACATTATCAAGCTTTATTGCCCCAACATTTATGAACGGTGTTTCCAATATCATGGGACCTAACCACAATATACATCTACCACTAACACCAGAGCCAAGTCCTACAGAACCTCTTGCAGCAGAAGATCACTATTATAGTGAAACAAGCCAGTACTACCCATACAATGCGGTCAATACTGGAGAATATGGACCGGCTAGGAGAGCGCATACTCCAGAGAGCTACTTCACAAGCCAGCAAAGAAAAATGGAAAGCAGTATAGGTTATCAGTACTACAACGAGCATGAGTACCCTTATAGCGGGCATTCAAGAGTAGACGAAAACCGCGAGCTGTATTCTCAATACTATGCAAAGCAGAATTTGCAGAATGAAGCATTTCGAGCACGAAACAGCGAAGATCATAATAAAGACTCTAAATCCTGGAGAGCAACATTCAGTGAAAGTTTGGCGTCAAATCAAGAGCCTCCTTACACGAGACCATCGTGCATCAAAGATTCTTACACTGCCCGTTATGGGCCCTATAACGCGATGAATAATACATTGAGAAGACAACACGATGCCTTCCAGCATCACACTTCAAGAAGCTCGTGTCGATTTTCTTCGGTGACTAGCGAAAACGGCACCGAAGATGGCGATGGCAGAACACGAAGGCAAGAAAACTCCGGAGGCGCACCGGTCTTTGAACAATTATCAGATTTACTCTGTGATGATTTGGATCGTAATGAATTTGACATGTATCTAAAACCGTATTAAGATTCAATGTAGTATCTGTTTTGAATAATTTCTGATACAGAAGGTATGGTCGTATATTATCATAGCGTCCATATGGATTTAGTTATTTTGAAAGATTTAGAGCCGTCAGGCATATTTACAGAGATCAAGGCGAAAGATTCCAGGAATAATAAGCTGCGAATTGATAAGGTTATTTTACTCTGTGCAAATCCCACACATGAGTTGGAATATGCTGAAAGAAAGTATCCAGAATCTGGGGCCACGAAGCCGATCAAGCTAAGTGGTGTTGATAGTCCAAAGAGGTTCTTATTTGTCAGAGATATCTATCTATCTGTTAAAAAGACTAAGCTGATTTAAAATAAGTTAGAAAACTCATTAATAATTCATGAAGAAAACACAATAGAAATCATGACCATGAAGGTGATTTTATATCTGATAAAGATTCGTCTTCATTTGCATAAACTTTAACTTGGATTTTCTCTATCAAACTTGGTTCATTTCGTAAAAAAATCGGTACACAATGAGAACAAACATCATAAGTTTTCTAAGCCGTTCAATAATCTCGCAGATCGTGGTTTATCGGGTCTAAAACCATTCGGCTGCGCCTCGTGTTTTATACCCGATAAAACACTCCTGCTCGTTTATTAAACATTACTTAAAACCGTTTAAACGCAACAATAGTAAAAAAAAAAAAAAACGTTCACTGTTTATGTCTAAAATCGAAAAGAAAAGAAAACTAAACGTAGAAATTGCATGAAAATACCAAAATTTATAACTGAAAAATCATCGTATTTATTTCTTCATTATACTTCAATGTAAACCGTTGCTATTAAATAACCAAGTATTGTACAATTTTCATTTCTTTGTTCTCACAGTAGAGGTCTAATTCAGACATTACAGGGCGATTTATGGTAAGCACTTCACATTTGCAACAAGAAAAGAACTCTTCGCCATAAAACCGCACTACTTCAACTTCTTATTAAGGTTTTGTGTGATATTACGTGGGCAAGGAGTAATTACGCAAAGTTAGGTAGAGCTTTCATAGCACAGGAAATTTCTCAAGTACCTCAATCATAGCAACCATCCCGTGCCGAAAGCTATGTTTTCAGAGCCAAGTAAATAAGTAGGGTATGGTAAATGGATAGCCCATCGTTTGACCTCAGCACAGTCTGCCTACAGACACTACTTAGCAATCGCCTGCCTGCCGTACATTTTTGTCGTGAGCAACGCTAATGTGTATTATTAGCGATAGGATGGTAATTAAGGGTTCATGTTCGTAGCTCGGGGCTTGGTTTCTGCTGGGAGCAAGATGAGAATAAAGACTAAGATAATGTTACCGTGCATGAAGCTAGGGTTTTTTCTCCTAGTTCACCAATTTTCCTGCCTCCGCAAAACCTAACAAACTCCTTGAAATTCCAATTAGCTCTATTCTGACTTTGAAAAACTCGGAGGTTGTTTCAGAGTTTGATTTTGAAGTAAGCCATGCCCTGACTTCGAAAAGCCCAGAGGTTGCTACAGGGTTTGAAAAATGAGTTATAGCTATACCCTAACTTAGATCAGCCCAGAGGTTGTTTCAGAGTTCGAGCTATGAGTTATTGCTATACCCTGACTTAGATCAGCCCAGAGGTTGTTTCAGGGTTCCATCTGTGAGTTAGCCATGCCCTGACTTAGATCAGCCCAGAGGTTGTTTCAGCGTTCGATCTATGAGTTATAGCTATTACCTGACTTTGAAAAAGCCCAGAGGTTGTTTCAGGGTTCGACTCTGATCTGTGAGTTAGCAAATGCCCTTACTTCGAAAAGCCCAGAGGTTGTTTCAGGGTATCCTAAAGTTTGAAGGTCTGTTTGGTGAAGTCATTTCATGTGATTCTTGAACTGAATTGAAAGTAAGCATTTATTTTCGTGTACAAATTTGAACATTCCAAGAAAAAGTTCCCAAAAAAATAAAAGCTAGCCATCTTAGGAAATTAGATGTCTTAGAAAATGAGATTTTTTTAGAAAAAATTCACTTTAATTTTGTCAGTTTGCTTGTGTTTATGCTTTGCCTGTTTAATAAACCCTTTTTGAATCGTTTACCGTAGGGAAGGGAAAATTGGCAGCCAAGTTGGATGATGCTCACTATAGGTAGTTTATAATCATTCCTAAGGAAATAAAAGTGGCAGCCATGTTGGATGATGTACTCTATAAGTGGTTTGTGATCATTCCTAAGGAAATAAAAGTGGCAGCCATGTTGGATGATGTTCACCTTAGGTAGTTTGTAATCATTCCTAAGGGAATAAAGTGGTAGCCATGATGGATGATGTTCACTGTAGCTGGTTTATAATCATTCCTAAGGGAATAAAGTAGTGGCCATGTTGGATGATGTTCACTATAGGTGGTTTGTAATCATTCCTAAGGGAATAAAGTAGTGTCCATGTTGGATGATGCTCACTATAGGTGGTTTGTAATATTTCCCAAGTGAATAAAAGTGGCAACCATGTTGGATGATGTTCACTATAGGTGGTTTGTAATCATTCCTAATGGAATAAAAGTGGCAGCCATGTTGGATGGTGTTCACTATAGGTGGTTTGTAATCATTCCTAATGGAATAAAAGTGGCAACCATGTTGTATGGTTTTCACTATAGGTGGTTTGTAATCATTCCTAAT